GGTCCCGCCTCTGCCGGACCCGGCGGAGGCAGTTTCGACGCGCTCAATCGCGTCCTTGCTGACCTCTGCACCCGAGGCAACCCCAAGGTCAGTCACATATGAGGAATTTTAATGGTTCTCTGTATTTTCTGTTTGGTTCTCGGTAAAATGAAATTTTTTTCTCTCTTTCTCGGTTCTGTTACTTCCTGACTAGACAGTGGAAGTAAAATCAAAATGGCAAGGGCGAATTTCTGGTTTTCAATTAATGGAGGACTAATATGTTTAGTGGATAAAGCAAGTTGTGAATTTTATGATTTTAAGTAAATTTGAGAACTCTTTCTCACTATACTTTGGATAGCTTCTCAGATAATCACTACACTTGCTTTAACTGAAGTAAGGCTAGTAGTCTCGAGGGCTCTATTGTTTTGAAGGTTACCTTCAAATTTTTTAATTTATCCTTGTGCCATACAAGAAGACTTAAAGCTGCTTAAACTCTATAATTCTGTTCTATGCAGGAGGGGGCTTCATTAGCTTTGAAGAAGCATCTGGAAGAAGAAGCCCGTGACCTCAGTGGAGAAGCATTTTCCCGTTTCATGGATCAGTTGTATGATCGGATTTCATCTCTTCTGGAGAGCAGTGATGTTGCGGAGAACTTAGGAGCTCTAAGAGCTATTGATGAGTTGATAGATGTGGCATTTGGAGAGAATTCCTCAAAGGTTTCAAAGTTTGCTAATTACATACGTACTGTGTTTGAGGTAAAGCGTGATCCAGATATTTTGGTCCTAGCTAGTAGAGTTCTGGGCCATCTAGCCAGAGCAGGGGGAGCGATGACTGCAGATGAAGTGGAACGCCAGGTTTGTTGCCTTTTTCTTTTTACTCTCCTTTAACATAACGTAATCTGATTTGAAGCGGTTTGTGAAGCATCTGATAAGCCTTGGTCTCTTAGATAAAAATTGCTCTGGGGTGGTTGCGCGGGGATAGAGTCGAGTATCGACGTTTTGCTGCTGTCTTGATCTTGAAAGTAAGTGCAACAATATTGCTTTTGTACTCCTTTTGCACATCAGGAAACTTGCCATATCATCTGATGGAGCTTCTCTTCTTAAAAAATTTAAAAAGAATATCCTCTCATGGAACTTTTGCTTTTTGCTTCCTTAGCAATTTTCAATACAGTAAATATTTCCGTAACGCTATGTTTTGTTATTATAGGAAATGGCAGAAAATGCTTCAACAGTGTTCAATGTTCATGTACCTGAATTTGTTGATGCTATTTGGGTTGCTTTGAGGGATCCGATGTTGCCTATTCGAGAGCGAGCTGTGGAAGCTCTGCGTGCTTGCCTTGGTGTTATTGAGAAACGTGAGACACGCTGGCGTGTGCAATGGTATTATCGTATGTTTGAGGCCACTCAGGATGGGTTGGGTAAAAATGCTTCTGTTCACAGCATACATGGTTCTTTACTTGCAGTTGGAGAGCTTTTGAGGTTGGTAGAGTTCATAGAGATGATAATTTGTTTGGGTGTGTAAATATGATTGCCATTCACTATAAGTATCATTCTCTCTCATCACAGTCATTTACACAAATATTTGTGATTGATTCTTGCTTGCTCGAATGAAGTTTTTGCATGTATTTTATGCGACCTTGTAGTAGTGACTGTATTCCATTAGGTGAAGCACATATGGTGATAATGGTAGACTAGGGAAACCCAAATGGGTACACGTGGTAGCAATGTTGGAGCAAGTAAAATTATTTAAAATTCATGTGATTTAGTGAGACTGGAAGCGCTGGTGCCTATCTGAAAATGTACATGTGCTATGCTACTTTGTGCTATCTTGTTATTTAACCTAGTCATCATTTGCTCCTCCTTCAGCTATCAAATGTGTCCCTTGGTTTAAAAAAGGTTCATTTCATCTGGGCAGGAATACAGGTGAATTTATGATGTCAAGGTACAGAGAAGTTGCAGAAATTGTCCTTAGATATCTTGAGCACCGCGATAGGCTGGTTCGCCTGAGCATAACTTCGTTGCTACCTCGAATTGCTCATTTTCTGCGTGATCGATTTGTCACAAACTACTTAACGGTTTGTCAACTGTCCTTTATTATGAAATTGTAACTGGCTGGCAGAATGTTCAGGTTGAACTCTGTTTCACTTATCTTTTTTGTTTATCACCCAGGATATGTAATGTAGTGCTATTTCTCGCAGATATGTATGAATCATATTCTTGCTGTTTTGCGAATACCAGCTGAGCGCTCCAGTGGTTTTGTTGCCCTTGGGGAGATGGCTGGTGCTTTGGACGGGGAACTTGTCCACTATTTGCCGACAATTACGTCTCACTTACGTGATGCGGTATGTCAACTTGACTGACCTTGATCCTCAACTTATTTATTTATCACCTTACTGTCCTCACGTTATTTATTTGTCTCTGCTGTGTTATTTATTTTGCCTGTAGGTTATGGGTTATAATTGTGATGGTGGACATATCTCTGACTGTCATTTTATCATTTGTTCTACAGATTGCTCCACGTAGAGGTAGACCCTCGCTTGAGGCTTTGGCTTGTGTTGGAAACATTGCAAAAGCAATGGGGCCTGCCATGGAACCTCATGTTTGTGGTCTTTTGGATGTTATGTTCTCTGCTGGCCTTTCCCCTACGCTTGTTGAGGCCCTTGAGCAGATTACTACCAGGTACACTGGGTTGTTCAAGAGCTTCTCCTTGCACAAATTTGGTGATTAGTCATCCAAGTGAACTGACATGCACAATTTTGTTATTTCAGTATTCCATCTTTGCTGCCTACCATCCAAGATCGGTTGCTTGACTGCATTTCAGTGGTTCTTTCAAAATCCCATCATCCTCAGGGAAGGTCAGCTGTTGGCATGGGTAGAGGAAATTTAATGAATATGCCTCAGCAAGTCTCGGACCTCAGTGGTTCAGCCCTCGTGCAGCTTGCTTTGCAGACTCTAGCTCGTTTTAATTTCAAGGTTTGTGTGCATACCAATGTCCATTGTGAATCCTAGTTGCATCTTTAATCTCACACATAAGTTAATATATGGTCTAGGGCCATGACCTTCTTGAGTTTGCGAGAGAATCAGTTGTTGTATATTTGGATGATGACGATGGAGCCGTCCGAAAAGATGCTGCCCTCTGTTGTTGCAGATTAGTTGCAAATTCCTTTTCTGGTGTGCAATATGCTTCGGGTAGGTCCAATCGAGGAAAGCGACGACGTCTTGTTGAGGAGGTATGGTTTTGAACATAATAAATTATGCTACATATTCCACACTGTGGATTCTTTTGAGTTGTTTGTAGGCTGTAAAACCAATTTTGTGCTTCTTGTTATGTTCAGCAGTATGTTTCCTCATATTTGTCTAATTTCTCTTCTATTTTCAAATTATTGATGAGAAAGATCATGAAAACCTTAGGCCTTGGCCTTTTTTTTTCCAATAAATGCCTACCTTTTGATTATACACCTCCAGTCCACATATGCTGATACGAATCATATGAAAACTTTTAAAACATACCCATTCATCAAAGTTTGGGGACCTTCCTTTGTTTCCATCTTTGCAGATTGGAAGGCAACTGTTTTATTGGAGGAACTGGTTATAATGCAATCTCTTGTATTTGATTATATTTTAGATTTGGTTATAGTGGACATATTGTTCTCAGTAGTATGTGATTGTACCTTTTTCCAAATAAATGTAAAATAACTATATTTCAGATAGAAAATTGTATTGAAGATATGCATTAGGTTTTAAACTCTTAGATAGCTCTTTTTACAAGTTATAATTTG